AATGAGTCGATTCGATTGCTAAGATTTGAGAAGCCTCCACCATAAATGTTAGTTTTCACATATTAATTAGAATGTTATATGTTACCTATAAAATTCATAAATTTCTTTATTTTTTTTTCTAATTCCAACATGAAGCTAGACAAATTTTGAGAAGTGATTCAATTTGTAGTTTACTTAAAAAAAAAAAAGGGTTGGTAACATGGCTAATATTGTGTGCCACCCCGCATTAAGCACTATCCTACTCGTACAAGAAAGTCTACTTTGGAAGCAACCTATTTTTTGGCTTCCATCTTGTAATGTGGCACAACCGTGGTAGTGTCCTCTCCCGGGCTCTCGATGCTAGAATCTTTAGAATGGTTGGAACTTGGAAGTCTATTAATCCCATCATTCCATGAGAAACTAGGAAGTTTGCAAAATGAAGGTTAAAAAAAAAAAAAAAAAGAGGAATCAGGTATGGCAATTGCTAACTAAATAATGAGAATATCATTGAATTAAGGGAGGCCCCTACATGTGAACTTCAAAAGCACCGAACTTACACCATTTTTATTCTCCATGCAATTTTTATGTAGGTAGAGAATTTATTTATGGTGGAGACTTCTACTATTGTACTTACATTCTCCATCTAAGAATGCATATGGATGCAAGTAATGAATAATCAATATAATAATGCACTTAAAGGCATTTTAAATCTCAAAAATCAAACACATTTTTTTCTAGATGTTACTATAAAATAATAATAAAAAAAAGGTAAAAATCAAATTACCGAACACTAAAACTGAAATATTTCAAAATTGAACTAAAAAACCAAATAACATTTCAATTCGATTTTTATTTTTATTGAAAATTTGGTTAATTGAAAACCATCCGAAATATTTCGAAACCAAAAAACACCATTACCCCTTATAACCAGTTAATAGGGAAAGGTATCAAAAAAAAGAAAAAAAACCATGTAATTCTTCCATCTAAGATTGAGAAGTTGCCTACAAAAAAAGAAAAAGGATTCAAGAATCATGACAAGGAGACCAAGCCATAACATTGTCTAAAATAGATAAGAGAATGACAAGCAAACAATGTCACAACATGAGGCATAATAGTCCGATTGTCCCGAAAATCCAAAAAGAAAAGTTAATTTATCCAATTTTGATTTTTTAAACAAAATATAATAACATTATCTATATACAAGTAATGTTTTATATTTTTGCATCATTTATGTTCAATTAAGCATATCTTTAGTAAATGAATGGTCAAGGTCTCGGAATGATACGCTTGTTTGAATAAAATTACTTGAAAAGTAACTAATAAGCTAATTATTATATGCTTTGTTATTACCATATGTTACATACGAACTGTTGATTTCTACTCGTAGGGTAAAGAGAAAGTTGGTGAGGAAAACAATAATGGTCATTATCATTATGAATATAATGGTGAAGGAAACATCACTCAAAGTTGCTCTTTTGCAATCAACATCATTCAAGAAAGCTTAGTTATTATTTAGAATAATACTAAAGGAAATTCTATGGTTATTCAAGATAGGACATATAAGAAATTAAAAAAAAATGAAGAGGTAGAACCATAATATTCAATTTCGATATTAGAAGGGGAAGGAAAATGAAAAAAAAAAAAAGAACTACAAAAAAAGAATATGAATCAATTGAAAAAACAAAATCACCTACTTCATTTGGAGGCAAGGATTCAAGATCTATTTGGAGTAAAGAAATGAGAACTACCGGAAGAGGACCCGAGTTAGTTGAAGAAATAAATCACATACTTCACTTGAAGGTAGGGGTTCGAGGTTTGTTCGGGGTAAATGAAGGGGTGCTAGCAAAAAAAATTATTGGACATGACTTTCAAGTTGAGGATGAAACTAGTTTTTTCCACACGAAATGTAAAATGAAATTCATTCTCAAGGTATTTACAATCAATTATAAGTTTATAAACTAATTTCATTTTTTTTTTCTAGAGTGTGAAAATATTGGTGAGCAAGTTATTACTTATCCTCAAAATGCCAATTGAATTGATGGGAAATATGTGAAGGGAATTTGCTATTTTGATGTTGGCATTTATGTTGCTAGTTATTTAGCTTTTTGAATTTTTAAGACAAGTTAGACTTAAGTTGTGGTAGTGAACTTGTTATCTTTTTATTTTATTTGTAATAAACTTAGTTGTGTTCGTGATGATGTGTAATAAATATTAATATTAGTGGTTTAAGATTGTCACATTTTCATGTTATAGATTCAGTCATGCTTGATGTTTAAGATGATTTTATTTTAGTTTTGTACCAATTATTTCATGGAAACTTTGTGCTATTGCAAATTGTAATTTTTTTTTTTTCAAGTTACTCAATTTAACATTATCAACAAACCATGTGTGTCTAGAATATATTAATACATAGCAACTTGAATTTTAAATTTTCATTGCAATCCAAGTAATTGGTCATACAAATTTAAACATTGGACATCAACAAAATAACAAAAAAAAAAAATTAAGAATAATAAAAATCTCATTTTTTTATCTAAGCAAAACTTTCTTATATGCTTCTTTGTGATCTTTCAATTAGTTTCTTAAAACATCAAACTCTTCCAACATATAGCTCTTCTAAACTCTAAGTGTTTTGCAATTTTCACAAGTAGTTGTTACTCCTCGCAGTAACAATTCGCCTTCAATTCTTGATTTTCAACTTTCAATTTTGAAATTCAATACAAAATCTCTTGTTTTTTTTCCTCATCAATTCTCTATTTTCAGCATACAATTTTCTTTGCTTATCTCTCATTTTCAAAATCACATCCCTTAGTCTATCCAATATAGATAATTCACATTATTTATAAAAATCATAACCATAAGCCTTTCTACAATTACTTGCGTAACGAACTAGATAATATAGAAACTTGATAGCTAGACAAAGATCACTCCATGATGGTCATCTTGAAAGTTGTTCTCCATAATTAGAAACTTGATAATATAGAAACTTGACGAGTTGGACAAAGATCAATCCATGATGATTATCTTTCAACAATCACATCCCTTACTCTATCCAATATAGATAATTCACATTATTTATAGAAATCACAATAACGAGCCTTTCTACAATTACTTCTAGAAAGAACTAAATAATATAGAAACTTGACAATTGGACAAAGATCACTCCATGATGGTTATCTTGAAACTTGTTCTCCATAATTAGAAAATGGAGAACTCCATCCGTAATCATACTCGATCTTTCGGGCATTGCAACACATATTGACATAATTCTTCTAATTCTTGACTTATTGGATGAATTTGAAGAAGTCATTAGATTGTTGACAAACGAGAAGAAATGATGATAAAGGAGAGAAGAGAATAAAGGTACGTAAGCATAAGAGAGAGAGAGAGAGAGAGAATGAATCAATCAACCAACCAACCTTATCAATCGATGAAGTAGAAAAAGAAAAAAATTAGGCCTAAATGTTTTTAAATTAGGGATTTTTAGTTATTTGTATAGCTTTTTTTTTTAAAAAAAAAACAATAATTCAATTTAATTAAAAAGTAGTTGACATGTGTCATAATTCTTTAAATCTCATGATAAGATTTATCATTATTAGTTAAAAGGACACAACAATGACATAAAACAAATATAAAGAAATGAGATTAAGACTTAAAAAAGAATAAAAAGAAAGATATTTTAAAGATAATTTCAAGAATAGAAAAACTCTATAATCATTAATACATTTAAAATTCTTTATGCTTCTACATGATAGAAAAAAATAATAATAATAAAGCAAGAGAACAAAAGAACATTAAAATCAATATTCAAGGCAAACTTACAAACCCTCCAAACCATTTGAATTGATGATCTTGAAAAACAAGTTGGTACCAAGCAGTCCCATCAACCACAAACTATTGTTCTCAAACATAACAGGGACAAAACACCGAGGGGTTATCATATTGTCTAAGAATTTACATGGAAGCTCTTGTTTTTTTCTCTCTCTCTCTCTTCTTTATTGGCAACATATGGGCCCTGTTAATACATGTCAGTGTCTCATTTGGTGGACGGAAGTGGGTCCATACAAAAGGTCCCCTTCTTATATTTAATTCCAATAAACACCACCTGGCCCCTCCTTCCGTTATTGTTCGTTGGTTGAGTTAGGCCTGTCTTTTGCCTCTGGTCCACAAACCTTAACAGCAAACAAAGTTCTTTGAAAATAGACCAGTGAAAGAAAAACAAAATGGACCCCTTTTCTCTTCTCCTAATCAATGACACTTCCCTCCTCCTCATTGGAGTTCAGTCGTGGATACTGTTCCATTGGACAATGGGTGCTGTTTTCCCCAGTGTTTCTGGTTGACCTTGTCATATATCAAGTTTTGAAAATAATATTTTCAACTGCATCATTGAAGAAGGAGACGAGTTGATCAATGCAGGTTCCTTATGGTATAGGAGACGTCCATTTATTATGCTTAATTAGAGCATCAGATTCCACCTTATCCCATTTTAGCTCCAGAACTCAAACTGAGAAGGAGAGTACCACTGGACTACAACGTATAGTGATGTTAATGCCAGTTTATAATTTAGATATTATCATATTGTTTTATGACATTACTTGTCAGAGTTATGCTTTCCATATTGAATTAAGTCAGGTGAAATAATCCGTCAAAACTTAATTCTCAGCCTAATTTTACTCTTCTCCCAGAGCTTTAAAAAGCGAGGATGAAGAAAGAAAAACGAATATAGTAATTAAGAAAAGGAAAGAAGATGAACTTGCGAGAAAAAGGAATAGGAAGTGAAAGATGGTTAAAACATAAATTAGTCAACATTTAAAATGGGAATGTTCATAAGCATCTAGTACTTAATTACAGCTTAACAGAAACACCAAATTTCAACTAAATGAAGTACTTAAGAAGCTTAACATATTGAGGTTAATTGCAATAATTTACAAAAATAATTTCCCACAACGGAAATTTCAGTATTGATTGTCCAAAATTAGCTCCTTTCACTTCAAACTCCATCTACTCCTTCACTGCAGTCATCACCTAGAGATATCATAATTTTGAGAGTAGCCAAGTTGCTCAATTTCCCAGCTCAACTTTGATGCAACTCTTTCATGACAGGGGACATACTCCTATGATGTTCAGCAAGAAACACAATGAACAAAATTTCAGCATTGTTGCTTATATTTCACACCAAGGAAAATTCTATTGTTTACCTTTTAAAAGATAAACAACCTAATGAAACAGGGCAATTAGGCTGTTTTTATGTATCAGGAGTACGTTATTTAGATGATAAGATCCAAGCATGAATAGATTTTTTTTGCTAAAGTAAGATTAGTTTGATGAATTTGAGCAGTCAAAATCTTCTAAGCTTAGGTAAGGACTAAGGAGAAATGGTTTCTTTAGCATACCTCCAGTTTCTTCACCAACTCTTTTGCTGTTGGTGCGGATAAAATGATGTTGCGTGCACTAGGATTAATAAATCCCTCTTCCACAGCTTTGTCAATAAATGAGAGCAAAGAATTGTAGTATCCATCAACGTTGAGCAATCCAACCTTCACAGTGTGGAAACAGGATGCATTGTTAGTTCTTTAAACCAGAAAAGGCAGTTAAGACTTCTCCTGCAGGCATTAAAGCAATTGGGATCGCACATGGTATCAGTGTTGTAAACATGAAAATTACCGGTTTATCATGAATTCCGAGTTGAGCCCAGGTTATGACTTCAAGTAACTCTTCCAGCGTTCCATAACCACCTATATTTAAAAACATATAGTAGTTTTTTCAGATTTAATCATTCTAATCCAAGTTAGAGCATTGCTGAACATAGGCAATTGAGAAATGATTGACTGTAGCCAAAAAGGACACATAGCTTAAAAATGTAATATCAGCAGCAAGGAATACAAGATATATCAATTACTTAGTACCAAAAATCAGCAACGAACCAAGATAAGTATCTGGTCACTCTGCATATTTATAGCGTGTGTGTGTCTGCTACAATTTACTCTCCATATTAAATAGTTGCCGTTATGACCTCAAGCATCATCAGTACTCCATCTCTACATATCTTTTATGGATTTATAGTTACATGGTGTTATGGCTAGACGACCAATTTCTTTTAATCTTCTCTCTCTCTCTCTCTCTCTCTCTCTCTCTCTCTCTCTCCCCCCATCCTTTTCTCTTTTGGGCGTCTTGGGGGAGGGGGGTCGTCCTGAACATGGTCTTCAATAGCAGGGGCATAATCTGCTCCCAATCCATGTAGGTCATAATAGTTCTCAACTTTTCATCAACTTATCATGTTACAGAGTGGATGTCTTTCATTTTTTACTTTTGTTGTGGCCTTGGGGAAATTCTATCACTAAATGGAGTCCACATGAAGAGTGAAAGGGCCATTCTGTCCAAACATGTCCTCCATTTCCCAAGCTTTTAGATCCGTGATAACTAGTGGCTGTGAAAGAGGTGGGCATCATTGCCTGTTAGGTGCAGGCGCTGGGGGGCATATATATATATAGCAAAAGTATGTTTATCTGCACCTTGACCTCAATGTGGTAGGAAATAAATGGCACTGTAATATTTACAGGCCACAGAACTACATTAGAGGAAAGAAGATATTAGCCACAGATGCAGACTTCCTTAACAGCTCTTAATTTTCAGTGTAAGATGTTGATGGGTCAAAAACTTACGTTTTGAATTGTTATGTAATCATGGGTATTGGGGTTTGTGATGGAAGGTTCAAAAGGATGTGAGGCTTTCACACTATTGTTTTCAGAGTCTTACCAGATGATACCATTTATAAAAACAACATGCAACAGCAAATATATAACGTAGATCCTCGGTTCAAAAACAAGATCCTAGATCCTTGGCACTAAGCTAAGGTTTTTAGTCTCTTTTGACAGTCAAATTTCTCCTCACAATGTGTTTGTAACTTGTTTAGCGACATAAGGAGATCGACAAAGGAAATTTGAGCGAAAGAAAATATCAAAAGGATGAAATAGAGCATATAACTATTGGAAATAAAGATCTTTTCATTTTATTTTTCATCTTCAGTTTTCTACTTAAATCAACCAAGGATATGACATCTTGTAAAGGGATAACTTAAATGCAATCAATACCATGATGAGCGTTGTAGAGATGTGTTTACAGTGGTTTAGTTAATTAGGCTGTTGTTTGTGTTTCTTTTTCTTTTTTCTTCTTTTGTGGGGGTCAGGTAGTATTTTTTCTTGAGTGGTAATCAGCAACTGAGAGAGCTGACAAAGAAAACTGCTATCAGGCATCCTCAGAACTCAAAGAATCAAATCATGAGATATGGCCAATCTGGCATTCTAGAATTAGCAAACAGGAAAAAGAAGCAGCTGATGGTCTATATGGTTTCTTGAATTTCCTATACTAACCTGGTAAGGCAATAAAGGCATCAGAATGCTTAGCCATCTCTGCTTTCCTTTGATGCATATCTGCAACTGCCTTCACTTCCCCTACTGTTTCACCAGTTAACTGCAAAATGTTACCACAGGCACAGTCAAAGAAAGTTAAAAGATCAAAATTGTGGGAGAGAGAGACTGTGTGAAGTTTGGAGTGTTGTGCAGTGAAGCAATGATGAGTGTTTGCAGGAGTGGTGGACTTAATCCATAGAGTTCAACTCAGCAACTTCCTAGCCAGTAATTCTTTAGCTTAAAAGAAAAGGAAATTCGAATTTCAGAAGAATCCAAGCAAGAAAAACACAAGTAAATACTCTACTTGTAATGAACTAACCAGAGATGACAGTAGAAAGTAGAAACCAAAATTATACTATATGCAAAAAGTGTAGTGCTACGTGCCAACTACCCAATCAGTCTGTAGATAAGGCTATCAAGTATTCATCAGAGGAACAGAAACCTTGAGAAACAAACAAATATGACAAAAAAAAATTAAAAAAAGAAAAAGAAGAAGAAACTAACGGAAAAATATATAACGAAAAGAGGGAAGTACTAAATAGATGAAGGAAAGTATCCAAAAGCAAGGAGAAATATCAATACAAAAGAAAATGAAAAGCCAAATCCTATTTTATTCAAATCCAGTCAAAAAAAAAAAAGGGAAAAAAAAAAAAGGAAAAGAGAAGAACAATAAAGTTGGAGGCTTTCTTCTTTAATAAAATAAAAGGAAAGGTCGGAGACTTTTTTTCTGGGTCTAGCAGACATACCTCTCGAGGCATGAGCGTCTTGGGAATAACTCTGCAGAGAGACAATAATATGACAGAAAAATCACAACCCAACTCACTGATTTAGTATCTTAATTCATCTCCATGTTATTTTAAAGCAAGAATTAGGGGACAAAACTTGAAGATGAAAGAAGAGTTAATTACCCAATAACATGACGACCACCATCATGAACAGCTTGTGAAACTAAACCCATCAAACCTATGCTGCCTCCTCCATAGACCAGATCAATGTTCCTTGAAACCTGCAAAATAAAACCACAACATAATCATATCTATCACATCACCTCATGAAAACCAACGAAAAGTTCTTAATGTGGGTATGTACAGGCTCAAATGTCCAAATGTAGAGAAAGAACGATGATCAAGTTTGACAGAAAAGAAGAAAAAAATGCGTTCTTGTTTGTACATTAAAGCAAAGCCCTTCAAGAAAGGAAAAAAGGGCAGAGTACAAATAAATAAATAAACCCAAGAAGTTAAGAAGAAAGTTTCCAACTTTAGCACAAGTAAAATGCCGACAGCCAAGTTACAAACAAGTAATAAACACAAAAAAGCTAGCACAGGGAATTCAAGAAACTTGGAATGTTTATAAATTCAAAGCAACAAAATCACTTGTGGTTTCTTGCATAAGCAAAGAAAAGAACATGCAAAAAAGGGCAGAGACAAATATAATAATAAAAAAAGAAGGTACCAATTCGTTGCCAAGGTCAATAGCAGCAGCCTGATAGGTAGTCTTCTTGCCTTGACTACTACCACAAAACACACAAATCCTCTTGAACTTTGACAACATTGACTGCTGCTGCTGCTGCTGCTGAGCAGTAGTAGTAGTCTCAACTATCTCCATTTTAATATGGAATAAATTATTGCTCACTATATATTATGATTCTCTATAATTTCGCTTTTGCTAACCTATCTATCAGTACTGTTGTGTGTGTGAAAAAGTAAGGAAGCAAGGAAAAAAACAGAAAACAAGGAGGAGGAGAGACCGTCTTGGTTGGTCTATTACCTGGTCTTGCTTGGCCACTACTACTAATTTTTGAGTGAGTGCGTACTTCTCTTTGCTTGTTTATATAAACGTTTACACACGTGAGTGCTCCTCTTAGCACGCTTCCTCTTCCTCCTCGCTCCTCGACTCTACTAAGCTCACACATACCATACGCCTTGCCAACATTGGCACGCGTGGACCACTTCTTTCTTTATTATTATTATTATTATTATTATTTTCACAGGCTACCCATTCTTTCAAATTTTCACTTGTTCATACACTTGCAATTGGGTGTGGGTTTGGATTGATTTTTTGGGTTTTAATAGCAACTCAGCAAGTGCGTTTCTCTATTCAATTTCTTCTATACAATTATTTTCTTAAGAATAAATTGTAATAAGTTAAATATCGCCCATTGGAAACTTCAGAATTATTTTTTTATTTGTCTGAGTGGGGTGGAAGTATAATTAGAACCAAAGAAGACAAGAAGGATAATTTTAGTTGGCATTCTTCTCATTGAACATCAAGATTCAAGTTTTTTTTTTTTTTTTTTTTTAATCCAAAAGTTCTTCACCTTTTAAACCAGAAACTTTTTAAGATGAAGACAGGCTCTCTTTTTTTCTTAAGCCAGAAAAAAAGCCAAATATGGACAGCCTAAGATGGGTACATTTCTTTAATCCCCAGAAACATCAGAGTACCAAAGCCCTTTTCTTTTAATCCTCGTAAAAAGGGCAATTCTCTTAAAATATTATTGAATATTTATATTGTACAATAACAATACATGTGCTAAAAAAAAAAAAGTAAGAATCTGAGCAAGGTAGTATGGGTAAAATTCAGAAGTATGAGATGATATAGTTTATAAAGCATTGTGGATTGATGATTGAAATAAAAACATAAGTGGGTTATGGCCTATCACCTTGTACCCTCATCCACCCTCGCTTACTCGACACTCTTGCTGTATGCATAGGAAACATTTTATTTGTATTTCCACACCCCCTCCCTTCCCTATGTCCACACCCCCACCCCTCCAAGCATGCATGCTATCTCACTAATTGCGTTTGCCTCTTCTCAGCTTATCACATCTCTCTCTCCAAAAAAAAAAAAAAAAAAAAAAAATTCACAATTTTATACCACATATATTTTCTTTAACCCCCACTTTCTCATTTCTTATTATTTTCTGTACGGTTATTGCTTAATGAAGTTGTTGCCAGGATTGCAGGAACTGAACCATGCTATTAAACTAATGTGTATTATATTACTTAAACATCTCCAATCCCTAAATTAGCCTTTATCTGCCTAAAGCTAGCTGTTTTTTTTTTTTTTTTTTTTTTTTTTTTTTTTTGCTTTTTATCATCTGTCTACTTCCTGCCCACAACCTAAGTATAGAGATTATAAACTCATAATTACTATTCTTAGTAGGGGATCCAGCGTTTAATTTACTAATTGTGTAGCTCTTGCATGCTTGCATGCGCATTTGACCCATGTTTTTGCGTGTTAGTGAGTGTCCCTTGTGTACTATGTTACTGCTGCTTGTGTTCCTTCTTTTTTATTTATTCTAATCAATTCGATCCATCTTCTTATTATACCACCCATTTAAACAAAAACTTTGGAATCATGCCATAATTCCAAAGTACTATACTACCCAAATTAAATTTGGCAAATGAAGAGTACAAGTGTATAATTATAGTTGTTTTACATTTTTTAAAAGCCATAATATCTATAATATGATCTAATTAATTAAAACTCTCATGAATTCCATAATTCTAATTTAATATACATGTTTTCAACTGGATAGAAAAGATAAACTTAGTCTCTCGTCTCCAATCTTACCCGTACAAAATAAAAAACAAAGAAAAGAAAATTCTCTCGTACTCATATTTGCTCATACTCGTGTTAACCAAACCTATATTTGAATTATCATATCACTAAACTAGAAAGAATCCTATGAAGAAAGCCTAAAGGGGTCTCAACAAATACAAGTACTGTCGTTTTCAAGAACTAGCACGAGGAATTACTTGATATATATATATATATAAAGCAATTGTATAATAAAGAATTATAATTCTGAATCATTCATGCCCTGCAATACTGTTTGCAGGAGGAGGGCTTGCTAGCTGTTGAACAAGACCTGAAGGTCGAGATGAAGATGTCTGAGATCTGTCAACAACCTTCTAGTCCTACCAACACCCGACCTATCCTTTATTACCCTTCCTTTCCCGATGCATGATTTGAATCTCCGTTGAATGGTCCCATAACTTGCTAGATTTTATGTGATTCATTCAAATCGAAACTTAATTTGATGAATCAAAAGCATGTTATACGTTATTAGTTAGGTTTTTTTTTCCTTATAATATTATTAATTTTAACTTCACATAAATAGTTATTGTGAAAATAAAAAAACAAGTTCATCCATATTTTATCAGTAGTAGTATGTAGGGTAGTAAAAAATATCTTTTTGGCTCATCAATCATGTCAAAATTTTGATTTTCACGGCTCTTCAAAAACTTTTCTTTCTCATTTGTATGACATTAGACATAAGTTTTTTATAGGCTTAGCAAATTTAGGTTTTAGAATCGTTAGAAAATTAGACGTAATTTATCGTCTAATCTAATCTAGAAAAATAATAAACTTACGTTTAATTGATACAAAAATTTATTCGAAAATACTCAAAAACATATATAATGTATATAAAAAAAAATTCATGCAATTAATGTTAGTTTCTTTCCATCTTGAATATATATATATATATATAGAGAGAGAGAGAGAGAGAGAGAGATGTCAGCTTATAAATGCTTAATAAAAAAATAAAAATTATATGTTATTCTAGGTGACAACATTAAAATCTGTTTAATAACCTAATAATTATGTCCAATTTGTTAAAAAAATTTCAAGATTCTTAATTAAATTATCAATAAATTTAGAAAAGGAAGAAACATTATCATATGTGGGCAACGTGTGACAGCACCACAATTTAAGGAAAAAAAAAACTCTAAACTTATATATAACTTTAATTGCATAATTTTTTTAATGTTATCACGTACAACAAGATATGATTTTTTTGAAACTTTTTTTATTATGCATTTATTAAAAAATATATTTTTGACTCATCAATCATGTCAAAATTTTGATTTTCACGGCTCTTAAAAAACTTTTCTTTTTTATTTGCGTGACATTAGACATGAATTATTTATAGGCTTAACAAATTTAGTTTTTAGAATTGATAAAAAATTAGACGTGATTTAATGCCTAATCTAATCTACAAAAATAATAGACTTAGTTTTCGTTGATGCAAGAATTTATCTGAAAATACTCAAAAACATATATATATAAACAAATTCATGCCGTTAATGTTAGTTTCTTTCCCTCTTGAATATATATATAGAGAGAGATGTCAGCTTATAAATGCATAATAATAAAAAAAAAAACAAAAAGTTTTAAGAAATTATATATTATTCTAGGTGACAACATTAAAATCTGTTTAATAACCTAATAATTATGTACAGTTTGTTAAACAAATTTCAAGATTCCTAATAAAAAATAATTAAATTATCAATAAATTTAGAAAAGGAAGAAATATTATTATAGGTGATCAACGTGTGACAGCACCATAATTAAAAAAAAAAAAAAATCTCTAAACTTATATATAACTTTAATTGTATAATTTTTAATGTTATCACGTACAATAAGATATAATTTTTTGAAACTTTTTTTATCATGCATTTATAAGTTCACATTTTTCTCTAAATCATATTTAGAATTAACATTTTATTGTAATTTCAAAAAAAAAATGTAATAACTAATTAATATACCATGTAACACATAGCTAATTAGCTAGTTAAATAATTGATATATATCATAATATATACATTTCTAAAAGGGAGGTGGCAGGTTCACCTTCGTCATAAAAGGTGTGAACCTAAATTCCATAATGACGGAAATTTTAAAAATTAAAAGAGTTCCTAATGTTTTCGTATGTGGAACCGGTGGACAAAAAAGTTGGGTCGTTACGGCTAAACGAGAACGGCAAGTGATCCGACAAGATAACTGAAAATTGTCTTAAGATTTTGCATCTTTTTGGTATTAAGATTTTTTTAATAACAATAAATATTAATACTAGTTGAATACCGTTTATTAATAAATTGAGAAAGGGATTCAAAGTTATCATAACATCATGGCTTTACTTAAAAGAGTTAGCAATAATCTCGAAGTATTGTTCTAGTAGTTAATAACATGAGTCCCATTTCTTATGTTAGGGAGGTAAGGGTTGTATCAATCGAGTGGTTAGAAGATCCTAATTTTATGAATTTAGAATATCTATATGATGTTGTTGTTGAATCTAGATATAATACATCTAAGGTTATTTTTTTAAAACAATCGGGTTTAAATTTAAGTGAGGAAGATTTAATTATAGATGAGGATGTGATATTTATGAAGATTTTAAGTGTTGCATGTGAAGAAGGGTTTATAGGTGTTTTTGTGAAGGCAGATGAGGATGTTAAAGGGAATGGAGTCATAACTTAAGAAAAAAAAATGATGGTGATGCATTGGATGATAATATAGGTGGTGATGCTTTGGGTGATGGTGCTTTGGGTGATAATACAAGTGGGGATGGTTTAGGTGTTGGAGCTTTGGATGATAATGTAGGAGGTGATGCTTTAGGTGTTGGAGCTATGGGTGATAATAAAGGTGGTAATGCTTTGGGTAATGGTGTTTTGTTTGATAATACGAGCAATGATGATTTAGGTGTTGGAGCTTTGGTTGATAATGCAAATGGTGATACAAGTAGTGATGATCAAGACTACATACTAATTAAGGAGCTATAAAGTGATAGTAGTTTAAATGATATTGATTTTAAAAGTTTT